AAAAAGACTCTCACAAGAAAAATATAAATCTAAATATAATAATTTAGAGTTTTGCCATTCAAACTATTCAATAAAATTAAATAGAAATATGAGCAGTGTTAAGGGCAGTCACCCTCCTCCGGTGGGTTAATATTTTTCTTGGGTTTAAGGGAGAGTAACGGAGCAAGTAGCGGAGGCCAACTGCCCTTAACATTGCTTTCTAAATTTTTTTTTTTTTAATAAGGGTAATGGTTAGAAGTTAGAGATTAGAAATTAAGTTAGTGTCTTACTCTTGACAAGTTAATATCTTACTCTTGACAAGGCTCGATCACTGATCATGTACAATTCACCAGCAGCTCTTTGGCTGCAGTGACTACCAATAAATCACAACAGGGAAATGTTGCTTTCTAAATATTAGATTTAGAAAGTGAGGTTGATTTGATGGGAGAAGTTAATCATCAATTTTCCCTTCTTTGGTTTAACTAACCAACTAGGAGAGATTATTAGGGTTTTTTTTTTTCTTTTTCTTTTTTTTTCTTGTGATTTGGAAAGATCATTAAGCTGCAAATGGCATGCGGAAAGAAAGATAAGGAACTGAGATAAGCATTTTCCCACTTACTTTCTTGAGAAAAAGAACTAAGAGAAAGGTTTGATAAGGACTTGGGGAGATAGGCATAGGCCAACTGCTTCCAAAGGTATAAGAAAATCTCTGCACAAACTCTGCTCTTAGTTCACTATCCACAGTTCATTTTCCACTTTTCTCAACAAACACAAGGCATAATTTTCTACATTCGAAGACTCTCCCTTCCATTCCCAATCATTGCTTTTTTATAGAGTTACATTGAAGTTATATTTTAACTAATTCATCCACAATCCTCTACTTACCATCTGAAGAACTTCTAGGTTTGTTTAAACTTTTTTATTTCAGTTTTGGTTTTTATTTTGTGTTTAATTAGAGATTATTACTGTTTCTTGATATTCACTTCAACTACAGTTTCAGACTTTCGGCTTAATTACCAGCTTGCAAAATTGATCATCAAGTTTTTCACTGGTTGTGATCGCTAATCAGATTAAAAATTAAAAAATTACTAAAAATTAGATATACAAGATAGTTGTATAAAGAATTTTTTATTTTACAATTTAAATTATATTAAATTATAAAACAAAGATAATTAAATATAAATAAATCCTAAATATT